TGGGGGCGGCGCACCCGGGCCGGGCGGGGGCCTGCTTTGTCTCCTGCTTCCCTGCTAGGGACAGCGGCTCATCAGGGACTCCCTGTTTGTGCAGCCCTTTGATAGCTCCCTGTTAATCAACAGGATGCGGTGGTTAAATTAGTTATAATTAATTAATTAGTCAATCATTAGTAGTTTCTTTGTAAGCAGCCTGTGTGGGCAGAGGAGCGGGAGTGGCGGGCAGGCCCGGCAGCGCAGAGGGCAGCGCCACAAACTCCACCAGGCTCCTGCGCTCCACGCCGCACTCCCAACCTCGGCTTGGTGGCTTCTTGTGTCACTGATTTAAACCAGCCTCACGAAGCCATATATTCAGTGGTTCCAGCAAACACCGTTTCAGTCTGATTTGTGCAGGTAGTCTGGGCCGGCCGCAGAATTTTAACAAATGCATCTTGGTCGGAGGGAGACCCTAAACCACGGCTTTCCCAGGGAGAGTCCTGAGAAGTCGCAAGGGGCACTCATCTCGGCATCCCCTTTGGAGCCCCTGGGGGTAACCGACTCCTGACAGTTGGTTGGGAAGCCGCAGCCGTGGCAAGCAAACACCATCTGACTGGTCCCCCCGGCTCCCACCCCTGGGTGACAGCTTCCCCACCTGCGGGAGCAGCCGTGGGAGCCAGGCGCATCCTCCTTAGCAAGAGCCACCACAGGCAGAGAGGTGGCCCGGCTGGGCCGGGCCTCTTTTCTGCGAGTAGACTTCCATTAATGCCCTCTTTGAATAGCGATCACATTATATCCCTGTAAAATGGTAAATTAGATCACAGTAACTTGAGCTCTGCTACACACTGAGAAACATTGCCAACCTAAACTCGGGAGGTGACTCGGAGGATCAGACGATACCTGTGGTGGAGGGAGCGGGAGCATCTTCCACGGTGCCCAAGTAGCCTGTCTCCTCTTGTTCCCTTTGTTTGACATTGGCAGAGTTTGGTTTAATCTCTGAGAAAGTGTTTTTATTTGGTTTTATTGGACCACAATGCAAAAAAGGTTTTTCATTTATAAACTAGTTTAGGAAACACAGTGTAGAGAGGGATGTCCTTGGGGACAGAGGACTGTGATTCGGTGATGAGCATTTCCCTTTGTCCCGCTGTCCCACATTTTCCTCCTCCAGCCCCATGCACGGCTCTCCTCCTCCCTCAGTCCTCACAAATGGCAGCACGTCGCGGTGGCATTTGTGTTGGGAGATGGACCCAGCTCAGCCTGCCCGCCCCCAGGCGCGGCTTTCCCTAAAAAAACAATTTCTGTCCAAAGCATGGTGCAGTGGAGTGAAATGCATGAAGTCGGTCGGGAATGGTGCTCTCGCTGGAGTGAGCTGTGCGGGGGGGGTCTGTATTTGAAAAACTGGGAGGCTACCACTCTTCTTTGCCCTGGTTTTGATGGAGGAGCAGGGGTTCTCTCCCGCTGAGAACGAGCACGTAATGCAGTTTCTTTCCCAAACTTTAAATTAAGGAGCAGGGGAATCATGATTTTAAGTTTTCCTGATGGTGGTCTTTATTCTCAACTGTCTGTCCGTCATTTGAGTGACAGTAAAGTATTTCTAACGAAAATAAACTGAAACAACATGTAAGCAACCTGCCTAAAAATCTCTTTGTAAAGCATGTAGCTTCCACGATGCCCTTGCGCTATCGCCGTCCTCCCGTTTCTCTGAACATTTGTACAATGTTCTCCGCAAAGTATCATAGGTTTTTTAGTAAAGGAGAAGTGACTGGGGCGGGGGGGAAGGCTTCTTGTTTTTTTAGATGCCAGGTCTTCTGGCTCACTGTGAACATTCTCAAGTGGGAAGAAAAACCTCATCTCCCACCCTTCCTTCCTTCCTTCTCAGGCCACCTCTAATTTCACAGCAGAGAAACCGAGGGAGACAGGCAGTGTCCGGACTGCTCTTTTGTGTAGGGCAAAGAAAAACTTGTAGAAAGTTAATGTGAAACTTCGTAGGAGTTGCTCCTGAGATAAAAAAGAGGTAATTCGGTGATGGGGGAGCACCAGAGGCTGTGCAGGCGCAGGATGCTAAATTAGAACAAGGTACATCCTGCAGCCCTGGGGTCTGTCCAGGAGGCTTGAGGGGCATCAAATTTGTACAGATTTTAAAAAAAGATAACACTTCCTTTTTCATTTGAAATGGACAATGTCCTCCCCAAAAGCTGGGGGGCTGAAAATGTTACACTGGGTTTGTGCAAGTCTGTGGGAGTGAGATGGGGGATCGGGAGCCTGGGGGTCTCGCGCTCGCAGGTGGTGAGTTGGAGGGACCGGTGTACGTGCAGACCTGCTCGCGGGTCACCGGAGGAGTCCCAAGCTGCAGGATCTGGCCGACACGGAGCGCAGTCTTCCTCAACGCGCAGGATCTGTGCGATTTGTTGGTGTGGTAGTGGATGAAGGAGGAGCGGGCCATCGCTTGCTCAGGCTGCCAAGGGCTCGGGGAGGTCCCGGAGCAGCGGCCGACAGGGAGCCGCTCGGCGAGGGGTGGCTGGCTGCCAGCGTGGCGCAGGGTGGTGCGGAGCAGAAGTGCCAGGGTTTCGCACCGGGCCTTGCACGGCTCAGCAATGCACAAATCACACGGGAAGGGATGAGTGGGAAATTAGTGAAATCCTGTTTTACTCTGAAAAGTGATACTTGCTTTCCAGGAGTGGCTCAGAGGAGGGAAAGGGCAGCACGGTGTGGAGTGCGGTGACAGTGACATTTCATGTGGGTAGCTGAGTAGTAAACAACAAAGGAGGAAAATTTGTAACTGTTCTTCACCTTACAAGGTTAAAAATTAACTGAATCAACCACGAATCAGACCTGAGCATTGCTGCCGGCAGCTCAGGTGAAGAGCTTTGGGATGCAGCTACGACTGGATGTGCTGATGGATGAGATGCTGCTCCCTAAATAAAACAGAAGGGATGATGCCACTGGCAATACCATGAAGTTTTCAGGCAGAGAGTAATGCAGAGGTGGTCACAGTGTGAGCAATGGGGAAGGGTCTGACAAACCCACCCCAGAGGTGGTGGCAGTTTGGGGTCACGGTAATGAAAATCCTTCTGATGTACTGGGGGTGTAACGCCATGAGCTATGAAAAATGCTGGTGAGGACAGACGTGCAAGAAAAATTTTGGTGGAGAACATTTAATAACAGGAATCCTCATGGCTTTGGGACAGCAGCAGTTGCAGGTGGGTGGATGGGGGAGCACAAGCAGTGACCGGAGCAGGTTTGGTCTGCGCTGCCCGATCAGGAGCCCTGCCTAAGGTCGGAGCTGCCAAAGAGGAGCTGTGGGCACTGGCATGAGGCTGGGCTTTCGGCACTCGTAAGTGGCCCCGGTGGGTTGAGGACCCCTCAGCCAAGGCTGGAGGGGGCAGGCAGAGAGGTGGGGAGGGCTAGGGGTGCCTGCCCGGGGCTGCAGGGGGAAGGTGGGGGCAGCACCGAAACCCACCCTTAGAGCAGAGGACTGGAAAGGACTGGGAACGGCTTACTGATGCCAAACACACAGCACATCTCTGGCCTGAAAATGGCCTAAAAATGTCACTGCTCAACAGTTCCCGCTGCTGCATGTGCGTGTGCGCACGTGTGTTTGCCGGGGGTCTCGGTGCTGCGGGCGCCGCCGCGGTGCCCGGTGGATCCGTACCTGGCTGGGCACTGGGGTTGGAGATTTCATTACTGCAGCGAGAAAAGCAACTTCCAGTGCAAGTGTGTTTTAAATGGATGCTGTGACGCAGAGTGATTGAAATGAGTGAATTTAGTTAAAATCAAAACTCTATTCTTCATCTGTTTCCCCTTGCTCTTCAGCACATTCTGTGGGCCCCTGTGCCCTGACAAACAGCACGCTTCCCTCTTGCATGCAAAACCATGAGTATCTCCAGCACAGCCTGCGAATGACAGAGAAAAAGAGGTTTTGACTAGGAAGGAAATATCAGTCAGCCCTTTAAAGGCTTTATCTCAGCACGTCAGTTTGGGCAAGAATATGTTTTAACTAGGAAGCAGCATGTGGATGTGTTCATTGTTTTACTTCCACATCTTGTGTATGTGAAACTGTATTTCTGCAACGGCATTGTATACCCAGATGCACTTTGCTGGGCAGCGTGGGAGTCGCTGTAGTTAAAAAGGGGAATTTCGTGGGGATTGCAGGCTGAGGCCACAAACAGTTGGTGCAGAAACGAAATCTTTAGGGCTTGCTGCTCTCTGTCCATCTGAAGTCTTTAACATCCTTCCCTACGAGGTGCTGCTGTTTCCCACCGCTGCTCCTGCAGCTGGCACCGCGGCAGGGCTGGGTTTGTTCCCTGGGTACAGCTGGGACCGGCCGGTGGCACCACCAGGCTGGGGGGAGAGCCAGGCTTTGCCCCTGACAGGCAGAAGCCACACTGGGCTGGAGCCTATGTCCTGCCCGTGGTCATGGGCGACCCGGCGAGGGAGAGGAGGAGGAGGAAGGACAGGCAGAACTGCAGGAGGAAAAGCACTCGCTGGCTGCCTCTAAATTTATCTTTCCTGTTTCTCGGTAGCAGCATTGTCTCATGTCCGTGCGCCGTGGTGCCGGGTCATTTCTCCCCTCTCTGCCCTTTCTCCTGACATCTCATCGCTCGTCTGTATTATCCTGGGTTTAACGAGCTCTCTGTCCTTTCCCTGCTTTTCCTTTCAAATTTTTAATTCTTTAAGTGCTCCCTGGTTGATTTTCCCTTCCTGCACCCTCGGTCTGTTCTCACACCCCTGTGCCAAGGCTGCTGTCCCGCAGCCCTTTGGGCAGGGGCCGGGGGGTGCAGTCCGTGCCTCCTCCTGCCGGGGCCGGGCAGGGCTGCAGAGCAGCTCCCGGCTGGGGGGTGTTAAACTCCAGGTTGGGGGGTGTCTCAGTGCCTGTGGGCTCAGCACTGCCAGGACTGGAAATAAAGGCACGAGCTGGAGGATGACGGTGTTGGGGTGTTTTCCCTTGGGGAGGCCTTTGTTTAACACTTAATACGCTGTTCTCCCTCCCAGAGAGAGGCGATGGGTGCAGCCCTCCGACCTGCCGCCGCTTCAGCACTTTCTCTCTCCCCTTGCTGAGTTTCTCTCTCCCACCACAGCTTGCTGGCATCACGCGCCCGCCCCAGCTCTCCCGCTGCTCCCCCAACCCCGACCACGGCTCCGGTTTTAATGCTCGAGACAGTCTGAGCGTAGATCTTGGTCGTAAGGCGCTCACCAGAGCAGAGCCGGCAGGGGAGGCGCCGGGGTGCCCGCCCACGGGCAGCCCAGCCCTGCTCGCCCTGGACCTTGCTAGGGAGATGCTGAGCGTGGCCGGGTAGATCAGGGATGTCCAAGACTGGCCCGGCTGGCGGCTGCTTTTGGGTAGAGTTAGTTGCTGTTGTAAGGATGGGTATTCTGGGGAGCTGGCTCCCATTCCCAGCCAGGACACACATCCACGGGGATTGTGAGACTCTCCTTCCTCACAGAGGACTTTCCGCTCCACTTTCAGCCATCTGAAACAGGGGCACCATAAAATCTGAACTTTAATATCTCCCTACTCCGTGCCAATTGCAATCTTTTTTGGGTTTTTTTGAGCGGTCTGAGAGTTACCATTTTCAGGCACTGATCGACCTGCCCTCCCTCGTTTGCCCCTTGGCTTTGCTCTGGAGATGTCGGTATATATTCTCCGTGGCTATTTTGTGCTCACTGTGCGAGAGGCTCACCCTTCAGTCCTTGCTCATGAGTCCCCGTGGCTGCTGTGGGCAGACCAGCTCATTGCAGGCTTCTGCTGCTGTTCAGAGGAGCTACAGACCCGGGGCCTGGGTTGGTAGGCACGGGTGCCCTCCAGAGAAAAACGACTTTCTAGAGCAGGCAGAACTGAAAGAGCCTTTTCCGTTGGTGGTGCCAAGCCTCTCTGCTGAATTTCTTCTCGTCCTTCCCCGTTTTATGCCTTGGCTGTTCAGCACGCGCTTGTAAAGCCCATCAGGGTAATTGCAGAAGTTGTCTGCAGAGAGCAAGCCTTGATTTATGGGGGCTTGAGTGGTTTGGTTTCATTTTATGATTATCAACAAGGGACACATATAAGCAAATTATTTCAACAGCTGAATATTCTGTATATTTATAGGACTTTCTTGCTGTAAGAAGAAAGAGTGCAAAATATGCATTTATGTTGCATGCAAAATACAGCAATTATGCAGATTGTGATGAAAACAGGCACTGGGGTGGTTCAAGCAGACCCGAGTGTGAGCCGGCCCTTGGTGCTGCCAAAGCAAAGGCAAAATGCCTATAGACAAAACCAGCCTTGAGGATACATTATAAAATATTTATTAAGATGAGTAAAAAGTGCAAACGTCCCCACCCCCCTCCGTCACGGCCATTGTTTGTCCACTGCATTTTCCCTTATATCAGCCGGTGAGCTCTTTCTGAGCGTCTCACGCCGGGTGGGTGTTTCATTCCCTCCAGTGCCCGCGGCAGTTCCCTGCCCAGGTTTGCCCGACATCTGCTGCGGTTTCAGGAGTGAAACAGCTGCGAGCTGCAGGGCCATGGGCATCGTGCGGGGCGAGCTCCAGGCATGTGAGTCTCTGCCTGTGCCCGACGGTCTGGACGGTGTGACATGCTCCGGACAGTGGTGCCAAACTCTCCTTTGGACTCCATTTAAAAAAATAAGTAAATATGCAGTCTTGTGTAAAATCTCAGCCTCCACTCGGAGTTAGGAGTGTTGGATGAACCCTCACAACATGATAACATACACAAAAACATAAGTGCAATAAGCGGAAATTTCTTTTTAACTTGGCCATGTAAACCCTACAGAAGTGTGTAGTTAATGCAACGTTCCTCCAGCCCAGCAAGAGCCTTTGCTTCCCCCGCGAGAAAAGCAGCCGTGGTCCTCTGGCTGCTGTGGTTTTACAAGACATCTGCCGTGCAGAAAGGCCAATGCTTTTATGGTTTGTAGGCGGCCGGTGGCAAGCACGGAAATCCAATCGCATGGGCTACGCACACCGTCCTCAGCGAGAACGTGCAGACAACTGCACCTAGCACCCACGTACCCGGCTGCTGGATGCATCTCCTGCAGCAGAGATGTCACTGGGGACCACTCTTCCCTCTGCTCGCAGATGCTCCAATCTGATGCATTTCAGGACTCAGATTTCAAAATCTAAGTTTCTGCTCCCCTGAAGTCACCAGAAACGTGAGGGACGGCAGATGTGGGGTCCTTTATGCGGGGAGCCTTTCTGCAGAGATCACCCCGATAGGTGCCTCACTGATGTGTCTGAAGTGGAATAAAAAGTAGTTCAGCTTAAAAAAAAAAAAATCCCCAAACTTTACTCTCTCATAGACTCTCAAATAGTCTGAAATTATATATACAGCCTTTATTTTCTGAAGCACCCGTCCTGTAGCTGCCGTACATTCATTATCCTTCATTAGGGCAGAAGCAGTGCCTTCTGGCTTGAAGAGGTGTTTTCCATATCAGTCACTCTGACTTCACTG